ACCCCAACCCTTCTTCTTCCTCCGTCGCTCACACCCATCCACCATAGCCGACCGCCCTCAACCCTCCTTCCTCCTTCATCACTTACGCCCGTCCACCCGAAAGTCTTAAGGGGGGAGAGTCGCAAGGGGGACGCACGGGATCTCGGGTAGGATCGGTTACGGTAAGTCAATGAGCAAAGTCGATTAGGATGTGAAGCTTCTTGTTCTCTCTCTCTCTCTCTCTCTCTCTCTCTCTCTCTCTCTCTCTCTCTCTCTCTCTCTCTCTCTCTCCTCTCCCTCTCCCTCCGACTTCCTCGATTCCTTCAAAAACCATTAACCCTTAACCCTTCCGTCACCCCTTCCCCTCCATGGCATGTGACTAACCTCTACCCTCACCTGTTACATTGTCAGGGAACGAACAGAAAGGAACTTGGTCCTCACTTGGTGGAAAGCGAGGGCAAGGGAAGGGCTGCCGATCCCTTGTGCCACCTAGAAGGAGAGGGTACGGGGCTATTGAGAACATTTGTGAAAGCGAAAAGGAGTGTTGTTTTTGAACGAGGTCAGTTTGACTCAACCATCCTCCCGAAATGCATGACTGAGGCGATCGCATGGCTTGCCTGTGTGAACGGGGAGGGAACTCATAAGGGAAAATGGAAGGCAAAGACAACTTAGGATTGCGGGAAGGGGGGCGATGTGTTGACCCCAATAGGGATTTTGTACTTGGTCATTTGTCTTGTGTGGTCTTGCGCAGGTGAGTAGCTAGGGACGGTTTGGACGGGGCTGGACCCGCGGATGAGGACTAGGGTGGGAGATTGGCTAAGGAAAGGACTTGGATTCGGCTTAAGCCATGGATGCGGGATGAGTTGAGACCGGGCGGTTGGGTGGATGGCTGATGCATGGACTTGGTTTGTGTGGAGGTTGCATGGAATGTCTCTCTCATGTGCAATGTGACCCCTGAAAGGACTAAGGGCAGTTTTGGATAGGTTATGCGATGCTAGTGGCTCTCGCAAAAAAAAATATAGCGGCTAGGGGTCCGAGCGACGCCGCCCTACCCCAAGGATGCTGCCGGGGCTGTCCCGAGCCACTAGACCTAGTGAAAAGGTGGGTGGCCCAATGGATGACGCTTGGCCTGCGCACGGTAAAAAGATAAACTCTCAATGAATTCCCTGGACTACCTGCGTATTTGAAGGAGCAATTGCCTGGTCAGACTTAACTGAATCGAGAAAACACCACGAGTGCCAAAGAGCTACTATCTTGACGCGAGAACGGAGCTACATCCCCCAATGTAAAGCCCTCTCGCAACTGGCACACCCCCATCCATCTCAAAGCACTAGGTAGGGGTGCTCGTGGGACGAACGACCCGTGCCCTGAGCGTGAGCGTGGGCGGGTCGAGCCAAGTGGGGCCCGCAGTGGGGTCGACCAAGGCTCGAAAGTCCTTCAGGGTACGACCCCTACAAAATTGGTGGAGGCGTCGGCTATGGGTTTAACTGACCCTGATGATCTCGAGGTGGGCGCTCGACGCATGACCGCGTACATAACCGAAGAGAAGGAATGAGGACTTGTGTGTGCTCTATCCCTTTGAGCGAATCAGATTTGAGGGTGGCTGGGCGCATGGCAAGGCCAGGCCTGGAGGAAGAACATGCATGCTTGCACTTTTGATCAGCCATCTCCTTTGGAGATCTCCTTTGGAGATCTCCTTTGGAGATGACTCTAGTCCTCCTTCCCTTGGACTGATGTTCGTCAGGCCGGGGAAGCCTTGGGCAAGCCGCAGGTCGACCCTTCCTCTTCGTGCGAAAGAAGGGCTCCGGTTACCTGGCAGGCGATTGGGATTCCGGRCTAGTCCGGGTTCCGATGAAAATCCCGCGGTGGAGTGATCCGACCGACATGGGTGCTCTTTTTCCTTTTCTTTGGAGCCCAACGGGCTCCATGCACCACAGTTAATGTTTGAAGGAACTTCATATGAACACAAAGGGTAATCGAGAAGGAACAATCCTGCCCTATGAACGGAGAYACAAGCAAAGATAAGGGAATGRAGGGAGTTGCTAGACTCCAAGGAAACTAGCTCACCCTTGAAGATGCTCACGAGAAGGAACCGGGCACTGTGTATGGATGTTAGGGGAGAGTGGCACGCACTGTCCTGAGTGAAAACCTGTGAGCAATGGGTCGGAAGCGCTGGGTGCACCTGGGGAAAGGCACTTGTGTTATGTGTGTCCCACTTTGGGCTTGTGTTTGCATGATGGGGATTCGAGCGTCCTGCCTTTCGGAAGGAAAAGATTGGTTTGTGCCGGCCGGTGCGGGATGCGGAATGGTCGTCCTCTTTGAAGTTCACCGGGTTCCGTGTGGGGGGGTCGGGCCACCGGGCTGTCAGGCAAGGGTTGGTCCCGTCGGCTGATTAGTAGCATTCTCACCCGAGCGGTCCGAGCATGGCTCGATGACCTTGCCTAGGCGGGGTGTGAAACGTCTTCAGGCGGGGCGGCTGCTTGTCGGCAGGCGGCAGGGGGACCACTGCATACGGGGCAAGGAAGGAGCCTCGGAGGCAATTGAAAGCTTCTCGTAGCATGGCCTGGAAAAAGTTGATTCTTGTCGGACCGATGGAAGTGAATGCCTGGACGGCCGGCTCCAATGGCCTCACCGAGATGTGTGGGGTGATTCCCGAGATTAATGGTGGGTACACAAGTGGCAAGTTGGGATGGGGTATTCTGGTTAAGGAGGAAAGGGCGAATGCCTTGCCGAGACCTGGGTACCGCACTCACAACGGTTGAGCTGTGCTTGAGGTATGGGGTAAAGCCCTGCCGATAGTAACAGTGGAGAGACCATTTTCGGGGAAGAGGTCGGTGAGGAGATGACCGACCTGTGTGTGACGATTCCCTGAGTTCTGTTTTTTGTGCCTCCCTCTGTAAAGTTGCCTGATGAGTGTTGGATGGGGATCGAATATCTAGTCTATTCTCAACCCCTGCCTAAGTCTGCACGAGTGAGAGAACATGAGGAAAAGGCTGGATAGGAGTCGGAAGAGAGTGGAACCAAGAAAAAGGAATGCGAGCGGCTGGTGATCGATTGGGGGTATGGTAGGGCAATGGCACCTGGGAAATGAATAAGAAAAGTTAGGAACACCCGGATAAGGGGTCTGAAAACAACTCTCATCTAGAAAAGGAAAAGCAAACCATCTGACCATGAGGGGCCGTGTGGTGCTCTCATGTGGGAAACAGGACAAGCGCCGGGAAGCAAGATTGCGCGATGGTTGTCGCCTCCCGTCTACTCTAGTGGTCCGGAAATGCCTATAGAGGTAAGGGATGGGGTATCTGTTGTTCTTCCGGAAGAAGGGACGTGGACCGACCTAGAACCGGCCTATGAAACCATGATGCTGGACGAGAAGGACGCGTTCCTCTGGATAGAGACAATCTGGACTAAGGTCAGCCTGACGAGACTTTCACCTAGCTTGATGAACCTAGAATTCCAGGGAACAGTGGAAGCTCGAGGATGGGTCTACCTATCACAGGAATTGGAAAATGCAATGGTAGTGGGACTAGTATTGGGCACGACACCGGATCAGTTGTTTAGGCAAGCGGAACAGGAAGTGGTATGGGCAGCATGTCAACGGGAAGAAATGGAGATGGAAAGGATGGAGGTGCGAGTAGAACTCGCGGACCGGAAAAATATGAGACGTCCCCTTAGGACGATGAGGTGCGTGCTGCCCCCGTTCCTGGTGGATGCAGTCTTTGGGACCAGGGATAGACTGGAACGTATATGCCAATCAATGACACGCCTGAGGCTGTACCAATGTGCTAGACAAGATTTTTTTAAACTGTCGGTGGAAGGAGGGCCGTTTGAAGGAAACTGGGTGGAAGAATTAGCTGAGGTGTTAAACCTCCTCAGCGCGGACGAAGTCTTTGTTCCTAGTCTGGTGTACTGGCGGATAGTTTACCGAAACGTGGCGGCAGGGGAAACCTTCTTGGAAGGGGTGAAAGAGATGTTCCTAGACGAGGAGAAGGATTTCAGTGATGGGGAGGACGGGGACGAGATAGAGGAGTGGGACTTCTGAGGGGGGGCTTACCTGGGGAAAACGGGTTGTCGACTATGTGCAGGTAGGGGACGATGGCCCGGGAACTCGAGCTGTGGGGCTGCACCTAGGAACCAAGACGATTCGGAAGGGGAGTAGAGATGTCAATACCGCCGAGCAATGAATGGAAAGAAACCACATGTGATTGGCGGGGGTATGAGATTGTGCCGGAGCTATCGTACCTATGGATAGAGCGTGTCTGGAACCCGTTGAGGGAGGAGGAAGGATGGGAAGAGATTGCGGAAGGAAGGGTGGAATCAGTCGGGACGATCGTTCTCTCTGAACAAGGTTGGCACCTGTTCTGCACGACGCTTGCGGCAGGACAGAACCCGATGTGGCTTTTAGGGGACGTTGAGGCAAGGGCTCGGCAGGCGGGGGAAAGTTTTGCTAACAAAGGATGGGATACGGTCAGCAGTAGAGTCGTGATGGGAGGATGGAAAAAATTTAAACCGCTTGGTGCTCGAATTAAGACTTGGGTGCCCGAATTCGTGGCGGATTGGTTTGGGGGTTTTGATCACGTAACAAAGGTAGCCGACGCAATGGAGCGAACACACGTAAACTGCGCATGGCTGGCGGGGGAATTCTATAGGACGTCCTTGAAATACGGGCCCTTCCATGGCGATAGAGCCCGGGAGGTCCTTATCATTCTGGATATCGAAAGGAACGACCGACAGGAGGTGGCCCCGAAAACTAGGGAGGCCATAATCCGCCGTGAGGTAGCGGCAACACCTTGCTATGTGGATGATGTGTTCAAACTGTTCGAAGTACTGTGGTTCGACTAAACGCAGGAAAGTCATGGGGCTAGGCAAATAGGGGGGAAAATTGCTAAGACAAGGGAATGGGATGTCTGGCCATTGTAGGGTTCAGTGCGGATTGCGAGCCAGGAGATCAAAGGGGAGTGCGTGATGGCGCGAAGAAGGACGTTCCTCGAGGAACGCCCCTTGGGCATTGAACTGCCTAGGGAAGTACCGGGTGGGGTAGAGGTTAGCTTGCCGGCGACAAGTGACGGTTGGCACCAGGTGGGAGATTGGGTCGGCGTTGAGCTTGCGGAAAATATGGTCTACTTGGTGATGAAAGTTGAGTGGCGTGCGGATGAGAATGGGGAATGGAACCCGGACCCGCGGGGGCATGTGCGTGCAGAAGGGCGACTGTATGTGTCAGAGGATGGGTGGAGGGAGTTCGGAGTTCGGCTGGCATCAGGAGAAGACCCGTTGAGCATGTTTGAAGGAGCATGGTAGTTAGTATGGCAAGCGTGGTTTGAATTTGCAGATCCGGGGGTTGACGATGTAACAACGGACCTTAGGGTGGCCATGGTCGGGAGTTTTGAATTGCCTAGTGAAAATGTACGAATGAGGCTGCCGCCCTTCCTGCTGGAAAGGCTGGGCGGTCTGGGACTTGTTAGACGAGCAGTGGCCGACCTCGCAAGCCTGACATATGAAGATGCGATGGTACATAGAGAATACTATCGGGCCTTCCTAGAAATGGGCCCGTTCAGTGGAGAGCAGAAGTACGAAGTGCTGCGCATCCTGCGTGCTGTGTTTAGCACCAGGCCAAGGGCTCCGGTCATGGGAGGTGAGGTTCTGTGGGGTGTCATCCGATGAGAAATAAGTCAAGGGATGGTGTACGTGGATGATCTGTACCGATTGTATGAGATGATGGACGTAGGGACGGACCAATAAAAGAGGTCAAGGAAAGAAACGAAAGGTTCAAGCTAGAAACCGGGGAGTGTTCGGGCGGGAGCTGAAGATTAAATGAAATAAGTAAAACCGCTTGCTGTTTAAAATGTGCAGGGGACTACTAAGTCAAAAATGGCGATGAGATGCGTTCGGATGTTGCAACGGTCCACACACCCGTAACCACCCACGGAAAGTGGAGGCGGATGGGAGGTATCGCTCCCAACAAGCTACATGATCCAAGGATTGGACATCGAATGGAGGGTCGTGACCCTGGGAAGAGGACAGGCGTTCATGATGGTGGAATGTTTGTGGGATGGCATGAGGGTTAACAGGGGACGGGGAGAGACGATCTGTACACCGACCTTAGGGTAACAGGGACCGTGTACTTGCCGAAACTTGGATGGTACATGTTAGGAACGGAATTGGCACTAGGTCACGGGTTGCTACCGATCTTCCAGAGGGCTGCTAAGGTGTTGAATAGGGTGGGCCAGGAAGTGCGGGGGAGAAGAAACGTGGGATTAAGAACTCGAGTGGAGGTCGGAGGGTGGCGAGAGTTTAAGGCCCCAAAGACCGGGTTGAGGTGTCGAGTACCTCATTTCATGGTGGACTTGGTATTCGGTAGCCTCAAGAGAGAGCTAGGGACCTGGTGGACTCGACCCTGGTCTGGATCCACCTCTTCCGGCCACAAACAACGAGCATGTTTTACGATGTGTCGGTCATACATGGGCCGTTCTGGGGGAATCAAGCGTGGGAACTACTCGAATTACTCGAGATCTGGATTGCCCCACCTGTCATTTGAAGAATATGAGCCAATAATTATCAGGGAAATAGAGATGGGGGAAAATTACCTTGCAGGGTTGGATGACCTGTTCGAGGAACCGGATGAGCAGGGCAGGCCTGAGGGACCAACATGAGAAAACGCGTCAGGAAGAGGTAGGGAAATAAAGGATGGGTACTAAGATAAGTAGGCAGCCGTCAGCAATAGAGGGGCGGTGGTTGGAGTTCCGTCCGACCCAATAGCGCGGCAAGGAGGAACTAGGAAGACCACTCGCACCAGAAAACTCTGGGGCATTTGGAGGTAAAAAAGCCAAAAGGGCCATCCTCGATAAGGAGGCCACTGGGCTCAAACACCGCCCTAAGAGCCAAAGCGCGGCAGTAATAAAATGCCAAGCAGCGGCGACAAGTTCCCCGGCGGGAAAATCTGAAGGACGCTCTGGGAAAGAAAAGTCAGGAGAGTCGGACCGATTAATGCAAGACACAAAAAAACATAGGGATAGGCGGGTTTTAGGGCCGGGATTAGGGCAGTTATGAACGACCGGCCATTTCTTAGCAAAATTTTTTCCATGTGCAGGCTAGGTAAAGAAATGGCGACTGAGGAAGGGATCGATGACCAGCAGAGCAGAGGGAATCAGGGCACGAATGGGGATGGGGAACGAAACGAGGGATCGAGAGTCAGCCAAACTGGAAGGAAACCGAGAAGACGGAAAGGATGCCTCAATTGGAGAAAGCTCGGGGAAAGCTGGGGGTAGCAAAAGGGGACCTCAGGAAAACAGGGAAGGGGGAAACGACATGAGAACAAGCCCTCGGAACTCAGCAGGAGCCACCCCTAAAAAAACAAAAGTCTCGGATGCCAGCCGTTAATTGGCAAAGATAGAAAAGCAGACGGCGGAATTTAAGGCAAGGCTTATCGAGCAGATGATGGCCGAGGATGAGGAGGACCCCCAGGGCGCAGGGTCACGAGAGGGACGCAGGACCGGTTAGGACGAGACCAGGTATGAGGAGAAGGATAATAGCCACAAAGGAACGCCTAGCAAGAAGGGGAACGACAAGAACGACCCCCCGGCGGAGGGGACGGAAAACGCTATGACCCAGCTTGCCATCGACAGCGGCACTAGCCGACTGCCGGCCACGCCGAAAGTAACAAGGGCGTAAGACGGACTCTGGAGCCTTAGGGAAAGGGTGCTAGGATGGTTTGACCCAGAAGGAACGCCGAAAACCAGGGAGAAGTAGAAGGAAAGCAAGGAGGGAGAAGGGACTAGTGCAGTTGGGGAGGGGGTAGCTCCGAAGGTGGGCTCAAGAAGATAGTCACCACCCTCACCCGGGCACTGAACAAAAATCAGGGGTACCCTGCAGACGCAAAGAAGAAACTCACGTTCAACGGGGCAAACATTACGGAGTTTCTGATAGACTATGAGAACCTAGCAGCCTTACTGAAATGGACGGAAGAGGAAAAGATGGAGCACCTAGGGCAGCACGTGTCGCTAAGCTTGGGAAGGGACATTATGGCCATCGTCGCCTCCAATGGATTCTGGAAAGAAACTAGGAATGAGATGATGAGGAAATATCTGAAGGCAGAAAAAATGGCAACAGAGGCCGAATTAGTCGCAGTCCAGAGGAAAAACTATGCGACTTACGACGATTTCCTAAGGGCATTTACGTTAGTGGCGTTGCGAATTCCCGGGGTAACGGACCGCATAATGAGTAAATACTTCCTCAGGCAGTTCTCTGAGTTTGACAAGGATAAGATTCTGTCAGCATACCAGCAGACCAGTAAGTTCGAGTACACGAGAGATGTGGACTTCAGCACCGTAACAGACCTTGCGGAAAAGACAGTGGTCACCGAGACACTAGCCCTGCTTAAGGAAGGGGAGGTCATAGATCTGACCCGGAAGACAGGGGATAAGGTCAAGAAGGGGATAGAGAGCCTGCACGAACGGGTGCACGGGGTTGACAACAAGATGGATAAAATGGAAAATGCGTTGTTAGTAATGCAGGTGCAAGTGTCCAGACCCGCCCTCCCGCCCCAAGAGGCCGTGGTTCCGGCAGCTGTAGCAAACCGGGGGTTTGGCAGGAGGGACCCGGCCAACGAACAATGCAAGTATTGCACCATGACGGGCATTTCGTACGGGCTTGTCCGAGGCTTAATCACGATATTGAGCGGCAGAGGTGCAGTAGGTCCCTCAAAGGTGAGATCCTCGGACCCAGGGGGGAGCGTGTCAATTGGAACTCGCTAGGAGGAATGCGGCGAGCCGTCATCCTCCTGAATAACTTAGAGATAGCTGCCGTAGAAGCAGAGCCGATAGCCGACATTGTTTGGGACCAGCCAAGGGGACGGGGACCACAGGCCAATTTTATCCTAGAAGGCAATGGCCAGGATAGGGTAAATATTACCACTCGTCGGGCCGGGGCAGAAAAGAAGCTTATTCAAGATACAGTAATGGAGGAACTCGCAGGGACTAGCACGGGCCAGCAAGAGACCGAAGCCGCGGAACAAGGGAAGGTCTATGGGAAGCCAAGGGAGGATGAACCGGTAGACAAGGCTACGGCCGCAAAAAAGAAATTCAGGTATCAAATTTCGATCCTGACTTCGCTAGAAATAGATTGCACCTTGAGTAAGCTACTGGGTACCATGGTATCAGTGTCTTTTCAGACCATGCTGCAAGCCAGCCCAAGGCTGCTTAATTGCTAACGCGTAAGCGCGTAGAGGTAGAGGAGGCCCCAGAACTGCAAGAGCAGGACACGAAGGAGGCCGAGGCGCCGCAAGGAGTCTCCAACCTCCAAAGCATTCCAGGGGGCCTGGGAGAGTTGGAGAAAACCTTTGCGGACATCCGCCTAAGCCTACCGGATCGTGAAGGTGGCGAAGTCATGAGGGCGCCACCCGGGACAAAGCTTAGTTTTCATGCATTACCAGTTGGGAAACTTAAAGTTCAAATCGGAACTCACCACACTGACGTGTTAGTGGACGGCAGAGCAGAAATCACCCTCATACGACGGGATTTCGCAATGGTCACGGGGTGCACGGTAAACAAGGAAGTAGCAGGGAGTATCCGGGGAGCAGGTGGCGAAATTCCTTTCACAGGGTATGTCACCAAATGTGCAGTCAGGGCGGGAATCCGGGAATCCATCTGGTCCTTTCAGCGGATGACCGTGATGGAAGAAATGGATCACGACATAATCCTCAGGAGACCGTGGTGCGCCAATGTGGAAATGATAGGAATGCATATGCACGACGACACATACATGGTAGACATAGAGAACCCGGTGACCGGCCGCGGGGAACGCCTCCGACTTCTTGGGACCGGAGGAGACCCTCCGAAGGGCAAATTGGCAACCTGGTCTCCAACATTCGGAGAAAGTGAGCGGAAGGGGGCGTTCGCACGAATGGAAGGTATGAGGGAAAGGGTAGAAATTATGATCGAGGAGGCTTTTAGTAAAAAGGAATGGATCAAGATGGGTCTGTCCGTAAAGAAGAGAAGGCCTGAGGACGAGTCCTTGGGGGTTATGGTGGTGGAAAAGGAGCAGGAAGTTGAACTTGGGGCCAGCCTGCCCAAGCCAAAGGAAGGCCGTAACGAGACCCCCGAGCTAGCGCTCGAAATCCTAGACCTGTTGCAACTTGTTAAGGCAATCAGGCACCACCAAGTGGTGGTGGACCCGACAGCGCTTGCCAAATTTGAGGATGAGGTTCGAAAAGGCTACTGCCTAAATGGGAAGATAGTTGACATTCAGCCTCGTATCATGGAAATAGCAAGGCCAATCCCGACCGTTCATTTTTTAGGAGAACGATCCCAGAAGGCAGTGTGCGAAAATACAAACCCGTAGGAAAGAAGGCCAAGCCGGTCTCGATCCTAGTAGAAACATCAAAGGAAGAGGCCATGGAGAAAGAGGAGGAGATCCTACGGGCTATAAGGGAGAGACGCGCAACGGAAGGACATCGCATACCAAATGAGGTAGTAGATACCATGAAAATAGGAGTGGAAGGGTTTCTAACCGCGGAAGAAACTCAATTGATAAGTAAGGCATGCCAGGAGATTCATTTAGCTTTCGCTTTCAACGATCATCAGAAAGGGCGATTGGACACAAAGCTAGTTCCCCCTGTCAGGATCCACACCGTACAACACGAGTGTTGGAATGATAAAGGGCCCGCCTATGAGTTTGGGATAGCAGCGGAGGTCACCGACCTGCTTAGAGCTCACAAGAGGTTAACGGGGCATCTGGTTTTCAGGCCTGAAATTTTTGAAATTAGGGTTTTGGGCTCAAATTTTATGTTTTTTTGGAATTTCAAGTTTTTGCTATATATGCATTTTGATAGGGTTGCCGTATATGAAATTTGGGGTTATTTGGAGTTTTAGAATTTGCGCTATTAAGATTTCTGAAATTTTTGAAATTGGTTGAGTTTTTTTGGGGCCAAATTTCATGGAAATGCACCTTTGGCTTGCTGTTTTATATGTTTTTAATTGCTTTTTTTAGGGTTTTTTTCTGTGATGGGGTCGTAAGAAGTGCACTCTATAGATTGGTGTGAAGTGTTGTTAAAATGACTGTCTGGTTTTCTTATAAATGGGCCTGGAAAATGGGTGCTCGGTTAACCTGCTCTCTTAGAGCTAAGATTGATTCTTTTGTGGCTGAACCCACTACATCCCCCTACGCGAACAAGTGGTTCGTGTTCAGGAAGCCCAATAAGACGCTCAGGTGGATGCAGGACCTGCAGAAGCTCAATGCGGTAACAATCAGGGACGCAGGCTCGCTTCCACAGACCGACTTGTTGGCAGAATCTCATGCGGGGCGGAGTATTTACTCCCTGGTAGACTTGTACTCATGATATGATCAGTTGCCGCTCGATGCGAGGGATAGACCGTACATCGCAATGCACACCCCCGTAGGGCAGCTGCAGATGGAAGTGACCCCTATGGGCTTTACAAATGCGGTAGCAGAGGCACAGAGAAGGATGCTCGTCGTCGCAGGGGATATGTTTCCGGAAAAGTGTGAATCGTATATATAGATGATAATCTCGTAAAAGGGGCAAGGTACAAGGACGAGACGGAGGTTGAGCCGGGCATACGAAAGTTTGTTTGGGACCACCTGCAGGATATTAAGGACCTAGTCCAGCGCTTCCTTGTTTACAATATTACTGCAAGCGGTCCCAAGAGCATCCTGGGCGTCCCGGAAGTAAGCATACTGGGATTTCGTTGCGGAGCTTATGGAAGGAGACCCGACCCAGCAAAGACGGATAAGATCTCCCAGTGGCCGACACCCCTGCGTACCACGACGGAAGTACGAGCCTTCCTAGGGGTGGTTGGGTTCTGGAGGATCTTCATCAAAGGATTCGCAAAGATAGCAGAGCCTATCCGCGCAATGATTAGGGAAGGCGACACTATGGATTGGACCAAGGATAGGGAAGCGGCAGCCCAAACCCTGAAAGACATCCTGTCATCCGATCAGGTCACTCTAGCAGCACCCTGTTTCAATGACGAGGAGGGACGGTCTTTCATCTGAGAAACAGATGGGGGACCGCTGGCAGTTGGAGGAGTGTTGATACAAAGAAGCGAGGAGGGCAAAGAAAGACCAATCAGATTTGAAAGTAGGACCCTGAATTCAGCAGAACGACGGTATTCGCAGTTTAAGAAGGAGGTCTTAGCAATCTTACATTGTCTTAAGACCTTTCAGGCATACCTGTTCGGAAGGCGATTTATCCTAAGGATCGACCCCACCAACGTGCCCGGAGCCCTAAAAAACTACAAGCCTATGGATCCGACCGTTGGCAGATGGATAGGCTTCATATGGCAATTCGACTATAAGGTCGAGCGAATTGCAGGGCTTCGAAATAGGGCAGATGGGCTGAGCAGGGTATGCATCACGCTAGAAGGAGTAGAGGATGCGGAACCAATTGACGCCTTCCTGGAGTACGAAGGAGGGACCCTTGTTGTGGATAATGAGATGGCAGATCCAGTAATCACAACAGGTCAGTTGCTGATTTAGACCTTGGAAAAGGGCGCACCTGCAGTGGTTGCAGAACTCAGGGAAGGACCAGTCACCACGGTCAGGCGCAAAGAGAAAAAGGACTCGTGGGGAGCAGAAGTAGGGGCCAGAGAGGAACTGATGGCAATGACCATGGAGGGGGGACGGGACGCCGTGATGACGTTGGCCGAAGCCTGGGCGCAGAAGGAGTGTCAGTATCTAGTCAACCTCACTCGGGAGGAGCAGGGTACGGATCAGAAGGAACAAGAGTTCTTCCTCATACAGATGTACGAGGGCGTCTTCAAAGAAATCGGTCTGCTACTTGTAGGGAACAAACAACCGACGGAAGTCAGTCTCAAGGCAAGGGAGGAAGTCGAAAAGTATGTCCTAAGAAATGGCCACCTGTTCAAGAAAGAGGAAGGGATGATACCTAGGCGTGTCGTTTGTGGGAGGTCTAGGCAGCTGGACGTAATCCAGGCAATGCATGACGGGCTAGGTGGAGGTCACCGGTTGTCCAAGGGGACACTTGCAAAGATCGTGCCCCTGTACTTTTGGCCAGGGATGGCAGGCATGGTCGCAACGTATTGTCAAACGTGTCTGATATGTCAAGAAAGGAGCGCCGTACGAGTTTACGAGCCCCTTAGACCCACCCGGGTACTGGGGACCGGACACCTTGTTCACCTCGACCTTGCCGTTATGCCCGTATCAACGGATGGGTTTAGATACATCTTGGATGCAAGGGATAATCTTAGTGGCTATGTAGAAGCCATAGCCCTCAAGAAGAAGACGGGGAAAGCGGTGGCCGACTGGGTGGAAGATTTCTACCTAAGGCACCCCTTCGTGCGCAGGTATATAGCAGACGATGGGACAGAATTCGTTAACCAGGAAGTGTTGAACAAGCTTAAGACACTGTGTGTACCGATCAAGATCATCGAGCCCTACCATCCTGAGGCAAATGCACCAGTAGAAAGGGGTCATCGGACTTTGAATAACACAATCGCAAAATTGTCAGCAGATAATTTGGGAAGTTGGCCACGGTTTCTCAAGCAGGCAGTCTTCGCCGAGAACATGACTCCAAAAAGAACAACGGGATGTATTCCAGCAGAACTCTGGTATGGAAGGGAGATCGATTTTCCGATAGAAGCTTTGGTCCCTACCTGGAACAGGCTAGATGACGATCCACACTTGAGCACGGAAGAGTTAATCACCGCACGTTGTCAGCAGGTCGCCAGGAATGAGGAGGCACTCGAGGAAGTAGTCAATCGTGTGACGGACAGCCGAGTGAGGGATAAAGCAAGATGGGACCAGGTTAAGAACATTCGGAAGGAGCCACTTCAGGTGGGGGAAAAGGTGCTAGTTAGGAACTCGGCTCTTGAAAGCACATGGTCCGTGCCAGCGTTGTCGAGCGGGGAACCCCGGGGGCAAAGCCGGTGTTAGGCTGCGG